AGGATAAGAAAGTTCGAACTTCCTTTCCTGTATGGGTAGAGAGGGTTCCTAAGGGCACTCACAAGAGAAATGGTCACTGTGCCCTAGTCCCGTGAGCACTGTGCCCCAGCCTTGGGGTACAGTGGCCAACATTTTTTTCAACTTTCTTGGATTTTTCACAATTTTTCTAATGGGTGCAGATCTTTGAAACTTCCAGGGGTTTTAAGGTAATGACATACACTTATCATCCCCTCATAGCAGATCTTCAGAAATCTCTTCAGGAAGAGCAGAGAAAGCAAAAGGAAAAATCCTAGGTCACTGTGCCCCGGTCTCCCCTACACCTATCACAATACCACCATACTTCACTCCAGCACTGAAATAACAGTGAATAACAAATGAATACATGTAATTACGATTCAAACACGGTTTCTTAGATCTGCCTGCTGCCGGCTTCGAAATAGGCTCACCTAGGCTCGAATAGATCACCTTGACGGCGTCGGCGCGGCGTCAAGAAGTGGCAAGCTCCCTCCTTCGCGTTTTAAGAAATGATACCTTGATATAATGTTGATACATCTTGACGTCTCAGTATGTTGCAATTACCTTTACGTATTAACCTTATAACAACATTGACAACGTTAGTCTTATCCTGACAATACTGATTTAACATTCCATCCATATTAGTAAAATTACATCAACATATGTCAGCAAATAACAACATTGCTTTAAGATATCATACTGAGTGGGAGCTGTCACGTTGGCCTTAAGAAAACTATATCAAACCATTTATGGTCACCTAGTGAGACTCGAATTCCTTTACCTCTATTTGATATGCGACATTTCACAGAGGAAAGAGAAACTTGCATCCTCACTTTGACGAAAAACCATGGTCTTCCTGACTCCGAATCGATTACCGACCAATTTATGATAAGTAATGTCCCATCCTACCCGATCTTTTTACAACGAATAGCAGAACGCTTTCCAGTACCTATTTTACAAATTCTTGACAGTTTCCTCTTTTAGGAAGTTGTAAAAAGGTTGCGTGTGGTCATCGATTCCGCCGGATGGGCTGTTCGACGCATGCAAACATGAAGTCGATCGATAACTGAATCACTAAATACTAAAAGGGCACAAGTCCAATTTTTGGCGAAATTGAGTTAGGAGCGGATTCTTATTCCTCATCGATAGACGCATCTTGTGTCAAAAAAAGGTGCCTGCTTGTCCGCGGCTGCTAAATACGTTAAAAACAGCTGCGAAAAATAACTAAATTCGAAAAGGGCACATGTCCGGGACATGTGCCCTTTTTGAATCTTTTTCTGCGCGGACTAGCTGGTGTGGAAACATAACCAATAACTTTCGGAATCCGACTCTACCACGTGTTTTCCAATACAAGAAACTTATACTGTTTTCGTCAGCTCTCTATTGACACTTTTGGAATTCATAATTTAAGAGACAACACCATTATGTTGTATGTTTATTACGAAACAACTGCCCGCAAGACCCCAGATGATGTGATATCTTTTGTTAGGTATCCACTATATTGAACATTTTACTGGTGCTGATATTGAAGAAATTAATGAATTGCATATATTTTGTGATAATTGTGGGGGTCAAAACAAAAACCACGCTCTCATACGTGCTTTAATGTCCTTGGTTGAAACAGAGAAAATTAAGACGCTAAAATTATTCTTTCCTCAACGTGGGCATTCGTAGGTAACTCCCTTGCGACTGGGCATTTGGGCTTACAAAGCGTAAGCTCAGGAGAATAGAAAGACTGTATAGTATTGATCAATACGTTTATTTAATTCTCAAGGCTTCAAAAATTGTTGGGAAACTTTGGGTTTTTTTAGTTGACCATAGGCCATATGTTTGACTTCTAAGGATGGTTCAAAGAATACTATTTTAAGCAGGTCAAGTCCCAAGAAAGCAGAGTGGTAGGCATTTAGGTAGACCAGTGGTGGATACATTTATAATTTTCACCTATCATCAATTTGAATGCACGACTGAGAACTTCATGGTCTCAAAGGTTTCTGAGTGTATTTCGGGTCTAGTGCGACTTTGACTTTCAAACTGAGAAAATCAAATGAAATGCCACTTTGTTTACCCACAAAACACTTGTACACAGGGATTGTTCCCATTGTTGATAAGAAGATGGCAGGTCTGGATCCTCACATTCCCTCTGAATTTAAATAGTTCTGGGCAGACATTTTTTTGATAACCACGGAAACTAGTGAGACTTGGAAAGAGCAAATCCATGGTAGGCAAAAAGAGTAGCATTTAAGATATTTTGTATCTCTTGTCTCTCTTGCCAGGTAGAAGCTTGAAAATAAGCAATTTGTAAAAAAAAATTGGTTTAAATTAGTAATTAACTGCTTAAACCTGTCATCTTAGCCCGTTAAATACAAAAAGGGCACAAGTTCAAACTTTTTAAATGGCTACCAATAGGCTAGTTACTAACATTTTCAGATAAACAAACCATCATTATACGCAGGCTGCCGTACAGAATCCGATTTTAAACATAACAACTTTCCAAAATATATCTACCACAAAATAAACCGTTTTTTGTGTCTCCTGAACAATTTGGTTTTCTGGACATGTCCCCTTTTTGTATTTAGTGATTCAACTAAAAAGAGGATGCATGAATATAAAGATTTGCCATTAACTTCTCAATATGTCAAAAAGAAAGTGAACTTGGAAAAGAAAATCAAAAGCCTGTAAATTTTCGAAGTGTTTATGTGATACTTTCATGTCTGAATAAACCCAGATATTTCGGCTAAATGTGTTTTACCTCCGTAGCATAGGTACCCTTCATTAATTTGGTGAGCATAATGGTTTTTGATGGTGCCTCACTTTATTTACCTATAGGTAGTTTTACTTATTAAAGGAACAAAAAGTCCAATAGGGGTTACCGCGGACCGACGTCGCGTCGCATTTTGGCGTCAGGTAATAAGTAAGGTGTGTGCGCTGCGCGCAAGCGCGCGGCCGGTACTAACACTTAAAAAATGCATCAATTCAAACTTTGCACTTAGGCCCTTTTTGCCCCGTGAGAGGTGGGTTAAAGTTAAAATTTTGGAATTTTTCTAAAAGTATGTTTATTTATACACCAAAGAGAAACTTTTTAGAGGTAGCACTTTTCGGATTTCGAAAAACCCAAAAATAAGACAAACCCTAGCGCAGCCCCTTGGCTGCCCGAGACGGACGCGCATTACGATTAAGTCCATATCTGAAGTATATTGTGCAACGGTTACGTAATAATTCAGGGTTTTCCGTCTGATGTGAGGATGTAACAATAATTAACAAAACATTATACTACGAGGCTTTCTGAAGTTTTTATTTTTTGTCAAGATTCGTTTTACCGTCCTAATAGGCCGATCTCTGCGACAATTGCGATTTTCAACAGATGATGAGTAGGTAGGTACTCGAAGCATTGTGTTCCGTCTATCAATCATTCAATCCCCTTCACTCAGATTTTATATAAACGACCCAGATTTTGTATGTACGTCCCAGATTTATTTTTATTACTCGGTAAAGTTGTGAATCCTCCCACTTAGAGAATGTACATGCTAATTCTTGTCGCAGTTCGTTCTAAAGATCTATAAGGTCGATTTGATTGATGTTTGCTGATATTGATAGGGGATAGTCCGTTGATAAGCTCTCTTTATTTACACGAAATCACGGGGATCCGCGAAACGGGCCGTGGAGAGTGTTCATAACAGCCATCGGTCATAGCCATCTGGTAGTTACTATACCTCCGGTTTCTTAACCTTTAAGTGAGAATTATGGTTCAAAGTATTCGTTAGGTACATAACTACCCTAATCGCACAAAACGAGAAATTTATAAAACAAATCACTGTAAAAAACTTGTAAGAGGATAGTATAGAGAACTAAAACAGAGATGCCTCCTTTTATAGCATTTTCCTCAAGAAACCTTACCTCTCTTTACCTCTTTGATCACAATGTTTTTGCGGAAGATTCTTGAACTTTAACTATTTGCGAATTCTTAACGAGTTTTTTTCCGTAGAACTTTAAAACTAGTTTACTATATCATTTTTACCTTTTTGTCGCGTTGAGTATTTTACAAAGTGTGTTACAAGGGTTATCTAGTCAACTGAAAAGGTGCCCTAAAGCTCTAAAGTTATGACCTTTTTTACAATAGAAAAACATTAAAAGCAAATAAATAAGTCGTAGTACGCGAAAAAGAAAAGAAAAAAAAGCCCCCCCCCCCCAAAAAAAAAAAGATCCCAAAAAGTAGCAAGGTGGGTAAAAAAAAACAATAGTGAATCCTTTATGAAAATAACGTTCTCAGCTCCTTCATCTAAAAAATCTTAACTTACTATCAAACAAATATCTTTAAAAAACTCAGCCACAAGGGCCACTGACGTCTCTAAAAATACTTACATGGTATCGACGCTGAGAACGACACACGAATCATTTTTACCAAACGTTGATTGTCGTGATTAGGGTGAGCACATTATTGGTCCTTCCTACGCTTCGAAACTTCAAATGAAACCTCCCTCAGTGCCTCACCATGACGCCTGGAATCGGGTAAAATTAGCGGGTGAAATTGCGTTAGTGTAAGTGAATTCGTGTCCGTTTGAGACCTGTCTACACGGAGTAAGGCCGTCACCTCTGGAAACCACTCGCATATCGGAATGACATTAATCTCGTCTCGACCTGACACTCGCGCTATGAGAGTCAGGAAGTAGGAAAGTTTCTAATTGAACCTGACATCATATCTGTTGCCATGTGTTTTTTCATCCGCACCGACATGACGCTACGTCAACGATCCCTTCGGAACGACACATTTCTAGCTGCCATCAGCGCATTGCCATCCTATCAATTTCTTATATTCCCTCGCGTTACTTTGTTTGTATCACTCGGCAGTCCCGTCAATATGCCGACTTCGAATATGGCAGCCAATGATGACAAGCCAAGCAACAGCCCCCAACAGTACAAGCCAATGGTGTTAGATCAACCTATTGAACCTATTGAACTGAGCAATTATCCTACCAACCCAGGAAACTTCAGACCATTATCAATTGTATCGCCAATCTAAAGCTGGGTACGCACTTGAGCGTTTTTGACGAACGAACAGAACGAGCCGAACGGTGCGAGCAGTTTGAGTACGTATTCGACATGTTCAGACACGGTAACGCAAGGAACAGAACGATCCGATCTTTTTTCGCGGGAACGCCGCGAGCGCGAAGATGATCGTCCTTTTGGATGACTATTTCACTGATTTGTTGCTTTGAGATTTTTGTCAAGTACTGCAAACTTGTGTATGAGTCCCCTGTTGCTAGGAATCTCAGTGTGACTGCTAGTCGGTTGGATACCGGGATTGGTTCACGGAAGTTGGTCACCTGCTTCGTAATTTTTGACCCAATTATAGTGAGCAGTTTCTCAAAATCAACTGGACTCATGCGCACTAAATTTTGTAAGTGGGAGAAGTCCATATCCCTCCCAAGCGAATTATTTTCACGCACTCTATATAACTTTCTCATCCAAAAGCGCGGGAGAGATTTTTTCTTCTTTTTTAACAACTTGAATGTAATTAAAAAAGCACCGGCTGCCACTTGATGCCTCTCCATCTTAACCAAGAGGTCAACTGATGCACTTTGGGCGGTAAAAATCAGCGGTTTGTGGCTGGAAAATGCGGGAACGAGCCGAATAACATCAAAAGCTTTTGATGCTATTCGGCTCGTTCCGCGTGTGCGGGAGACGCTCGAGCCGTTCGTAGACCCGTCCGCACATGCCGCACAACTCGAGCAGTCTTCCGTGGCTGCTCATTCGGTTCGTTCGTCAAAAACGCTCTAGTGCGTACCCAGCTTACAAAGTGTATGAAAAGTCCGCAGTACCTACAGCAGATCAATAAATTCCTTAAAATAAATAATATATGCTCTGCGATAATCAGTAGGGATTCAGGGAGAAAGTAAGTACTGAAGCGCTATACTTAGATGCTATGAAGAAATCAGCACAAAGAAAAAACGACCCTGCCGTTGTAAGGAATCGCCACGGTCATAAGTAAAGCATTTGATTCAGTGATCATGATATCCTAATTTTAAAATTAAAGAAGATGGGATTTGGAAAAGAAGCTCTTAAATGGATAGGTAAAAAGCTTTATGCCACGCAGAAAAAAATATGTACATGCACCTACGGAAAAAATTATCCCAGATAGCACAAAAATATTTTTAAAATATTGACGTAGTATTTTGACAATATTTTTAAAATGTCAAAATATTTCTAAAATATTTTAAAAACATTTTAATGTTCCCTCCATGAAAATATTTTGAAAATATTTTCCCGAAAATATTTTGAAAATATTTTAAAAATATTTTACCATTTTACCTATTAGTACCATACGCCCTCTATCAACGATTGACGGCACTACCTGCTTCTGTATACACGTCTGTATACTCAGCGCACTCTGTCAAGTAGATGCGGAAGTACAAGCACTGACCGTCATTGTCATACTTCTGCACATTTATTACATTTGAGATATGAATTACACAAGTATACAAGTATTGAATAGTATGAACCACTTACCTGCAGTCCTGCGACGTTTAGCAGCGTAAAATATCCGACCGCCCTCGTGCGGACTTGAACCGGCCTGGACCGCGCGCGCCGTAGCCGAACACTTTGCCGCTGCGCCACAGGGAACAGGTGGTGATTAAGGTTAAATTCACGCCTGTTAAGGCTGTTATAGCATGCATTGCGTCAGTGCGCGGCTCAACTTTCATCATAGCTTTGATTAACGCCGTGTTTTCTCAGGCTTCTTTCTTTTTCCTATTATTTATTTTTTTTCATGTTATTTGTTTTTCTTAACATTTCAAAAACATTTTAAAAATATTTTGAAAATATTTTCATGACAACATTGTTATGAAAATATTTTGATAAAGGTGACAACATTTTCAAAATATTTTCAAAATATTTTGTGCTATCTGGGTAGAAGTATATAACTCAAAAGGTAGAATGATTTATACAGGAATCGTGCAAAGATCAATGATACGGCTACTACTATTTATACTGTTCATTAATGATTTAGCTATATTTTTAAAAGGCAATGTTAAATCTCTTTTAAAATCGTTTTTTGATCTTGTATTGTTCGCTGATGACATCCTCATAATTCTACGTAATATCATACTGGAAAATCATGGGTGGCGGTAGCCACCTCCGGACAAAGTCTAAACTCGACAACACTGGAAAGCCTCCAAACGAAAAAAGGTGGCAGCCGACCATAGACACACGTAACTCCCTTATCATGGGTGGCGGTAGCCACCTCCGGACAAAGTCTAAACTCGACAACACTGGAAAGCCTCCAAACGAAAAAAGGTGGCAGCCAACCATAGACACACGTAACTTCCTTATTCTGAAAATTGATTCGACTCTAAGTAGACTGCAGCCCAAACGACGGCACGGA